CAAAGTTTATCCTATGGTGACGCCACGTCTGCATAGCCTTTTCTAGTAGCCTCGGTATGTAAACTTTAAAGTATCTCATGATTAGATAAGACAGTAGTGTTAGCCTTATTCCTCGGAGAAAAACAGGAGAATGGAAATATGGTTAGTGACATGTAATATAGTTATATATGCCTATAGTATGTATTGCATAATGATTAACTATATCTAATTACATATGATATAAATAGTTATAGGGTTGATTTTTCGGCATCATGCCTTTATCAAACCGTAGCTTCCCTGCCAATAATCCTACTCGTTTTTCAGTTGTTGTTTTTTTTTTTGAAACAGCAAGCCACAGCTGTTTCAGGACGCCACATTCCGCGGAAACAGCGATTGCCAGCCATTAACACCATACAGTGCCTATCTCAGAATTAGAATGCGTGAACATACGTGTACATGCAAACGAATTCAAGCAAATGGGCCTCACGCATCACGATTCATTCAAACATGCAAGCGAGTTGAAGTAAACAGGCACCACACATCGCCCATCAATTATGCATGCGAACGATTTCAATTGAACAAGCATCGCACATCACGCGTCAGGCATCACATACGCATGTAAACGATTTTAAACTAACACACATCACACATAAAGGCACATATCACGTTCACATAATCGGTCATGATGAGCCTTGTATGTTAATTTTGGTCGCCGGCTTTTTATAAGAATGGATTCACTGATTTTCCTATCTGGGTGGTCCTGCACTCTGTAGATGGGTGCGCTCTGTAGTCATCTACAGAGCACAAGACCACCCAGACAGGAAAATACGTGAATTCATTCTTATAACAAGTCGACGACTAAATCTTACATACAGGGCTCATCATGGCCGATTATGCGAACGTGATATGTGCCTTTATGTGTGATGTGTGCTAGGTTAAAATCGTTTACATATGTAAGTGATATCTGACGCGTGATGTGCGATGCCTGTTCAATTGAAATCATTTGCATGTATAATTGATGGGCAATGTTTGATATCCGTTTACTTAAGCTTGCTTGCATGTTTTGAATGAAGCGTGATGCGTGATGCCTTTTTGCTTGAATTCGTTTGCACGCACACGTATGTTCGCGCATTCTAACTATGAGATAGGTACTGTATGGCGGTAATGGCTGACAATCGCTTTTTGTTTAATATCCTGACTGTTGGTGTCCCATACAAACTGTGGCCTGCTATTTAAAAAGACCCTGAAAAATCGAGTAGAGTCATCGGCAGGGATTTTGGATTCACTTCTGCTAGTGTTTAGATAAAGGCACGTTGCCGAAATATCAACCCAACTATATCTCAATTCTCCAGTTTTTTTTCGTTTTTTTTTTGTTCTCCGAGGAATAAGGCTAACACTACTGTTGTCTTATCTATGTGAGTAATGTTCCTTGCTAATGCACTGAACAACTTGCGTGATTTATCTCGCGCTTGTTCTTACATGGATCTTATACCTACGTACATCAGTTTTTGTAATACCGGTTATGCGCAACTAATGCCGGTTATGCAGACCCGGGCCACAGAACCGGGATTCCTAATATGATATCCACCGAGCCCTTCGGGCGCTTCGGAGCCACGAATAGGGTCTTTGATGGTCTGTCCCCAGAGCCCTTGGGTGGGAGGGGGCGGTGCACGGGCCTCTGTACATCTCCTGTGTGCGCCACTGGAGGTACCTGAGCGGTGAATGCGACTCCTGAGCGACTAGGGTATCCTAGCAGTTTTCCAGCTCCCTTAGTGTCCGCAGTTTGAAGGGCAACAGAGGTCTTAACAGCTGTAAGGGCCCTTAAATACCGGAGTACTCCTGGCCACCAAGAAGTCCCGACTGAGCGGCCAGAGGGGTCTACGAGTTTACCAGAGCGGGCTTACTGAACTGCTAGACGCTGCTACGGTATTATCATAATTTTTGGGTGACAATATTTTTTGCTCCTCTCATTTGGTATGGTAATTTTTTGGACTTCACAGTTCCGAAAAGAGCTGCCCCAGGGTCTCCTGGAACCCTCGCCCTTGTTCCACACCCCATCCCCCCCCCTCCAAAAGCCAGACCCCAATAGAGTTTTCAGCCAAGACTTGTGACCCCATGCGTTTCTCGGTTGGGGCTGAAGGACCTTTCCGTCCCCTCTCAGATTTCCAATCGGTTACTATTAATACACATGACACATTGGTCCTCTCTCTGACGCCGAAGGCCCTCTGACCGGGATGGCTGACCATGGATCAACACGGGGCCACTCACAGACCCAAAAGGGTCCCAAGCGTAGCGGGTTTAATACATAGCTCAGGAATTCCAGTTCGACATATTTCAGCCCTAGAGAAAACGGGCAGAGGGACCCTGTCCGGTGCTGGTTCCTGACTGACACGAGGCTCTTCCATTTAGGCGCCTGCCAAGGAGGGGGGGGGGGCTCCGGTTCAGCACCAGGAAGATCCCGGGATGTCCGACATGTCCGGATGTCCGGTTCGCCGGGATGTGTACCGCAGCGAACCGAGTGAAACCGAGTCAGGGGTCTCGGACTCTGACGCAAAGATGGCGGCGTGCCCGGCTGAACTAGCAGGGTTTCGACCTCGGACGGGCTGCCCCACGACAGCCCTCGCGCGCGTGTGGCGTGAGTCCGTTCTCGGGCGAGGGAAGGCGCGCGCGTGAATGCGTTCTTTATTTGGCGACCGGGCTGTCTCGTCCGCCGGCCCGCCGCGAGCGCGGCTGCCGGCCGGACCGTCGAGCTGGGCAGCCTCTGGGCTGCCTCGTGTGTCCGAGCTCCGCGTCCAACCGATTACACATTATTATTCCCACATATAAACAGTGATTGAGCGGAAGCATTGTCTGCAAATTTGGCGGGTGGCGGTTTGTTTGTCTGGACGGGCTGTAATACCGGTCGGAGCTTTACGTCACACCGGCTGCAATTGCTATTTCGAGGCGGAACGCCTCTATTACGTATTCATCAGGCATTAGGTACGTGGGATGCGGTAGTGGTGTGGCCAGGACTCCATTCTAGGATAGAAAAGTCCAGAGATGAGCACCCTTACCACTAACCATCATCGCCCCTCTGCGGCGCGACTGCGCCCGTCTCGATAAACTCCAGACTCGTGTTGCTGAACCCCAAATCCTATACTTAGGAGGTTCTAAAACAGTAAAAGGAAGAAAGCTTGTCAGGATTGATGAAGTGGATGGCGAATACAAGCTCACGATTCTCCCAATTCATTCAGCTTTTATATCGCAAACCAGCTCAGTGACGTACACTCGGCTCCGCTATTAAGATGATGAATCAACAGTGCCTTTAAGGGCGGCACGTGCGTAGTGCTTTGCGTGACGTTCGGCAGGCAGTTGAATACATTCGCAGTGAACGTTTGTTTTTTTTGCGTCCTATTTACTTGCAGCCAGGAGTGCAGTCCCCTATTCGGTTGCAAGGGTTTCATCTCCCGCCGTAACTTGGATTGCAGCCTCCGGATTTGTGAAAAAGTAAGCCAAATTCGGAGAGAAACCAATTTGTCGGCATATTGTCACGGTACTCTTCGCTGTATTTTCGTCGCTCAGCCAACCGACTTATTTTGGTAAACCAAGCCCGTTTAAAACGCACCTAACTTAAGAAACCAACTGTTTGCAGACTGGGCCATTGAACGTGTCTCAGCAGGGAATAGTATCCGGATTCAGCTCATGAGGCAGTCCCCACCCCTCCCTCTCTTTAAGAGTAAAGACATGTTTAATTCAAAATTAGTCCCATTTGCAGGAGCGTGTGCAAGAATTTGCAATTGGGGAGAAGGAGGGAAGTCAGCAAAAGAAAAAGAAAATCACTAACAATATAAGTCATCGTGCCAGGAGCTTGAGACCTATATGCGCGCCTACCTGGAACAGACATCAAATCAGTCCGCCTTACACCTCAGTCATCAATTCCTTCAAAAAATGAGAAACCTTACCAACACTTAAAGTGAATAACGGAACCAAATACCGCGGATAATTTATCCATAGCCCGCAATACCAAACAGCAGGCACCCCGGCAAGTGCCTTTCACGATCACCGAGCAGCTACTGCCGAGTAACCAGCTATTTCCAATGCCACGAGCCAGGTATCAAAGTTTTGAATTATTTATTGCGCCTGCTGCCAAGGACGTGCTGACGCGGCGAACTTTGTGCGTTTCAACAAAACGTTGTCCATACCCATGCACAGTGGATACTGTAATATGTATATAATGTACTGATACAGCACACTGGATACTGATAATGTAACTAGGCAGCACTGTGCCGCATGACGTATCTCGTCGGCTGAGGCGGGCGAAATCGGCTCCGGTAGCCCTCTATCGGCCAATATCCGAACCACTAGGTTAAGGGTTGCGAAGAAGTGGGAAAGTCTCCCAACCCGCCGATCTCACGCACTGCTGGAGTTAAGGAACGCTGGACTTTATGACAGTGGCCGCTGCGAGCCTGGACTTTATGATTCTCCTCTGTCCAGGTATTTTGGACGATTTCTGGATGTCGCTAACGCTGGATGCTACGATTCTGGACTTTCTGACCACTGGACTTTATGAACTCGTTTCGCTTCACGTTTCACAAACTCGACGTTTCAATACGCATCCGAAACGCCGCCGCGCGAGCCATTGCGACTTTGTGACGTCACTGCCTATCGTTAACCAGCCGCCAGCCCGACCAATTTCTCAAGCTGCGATGATGGGCCCCCTAGAACAGCTATAACCTTTTTGATGTAGCGTACCGGACCAACATTTTGTATTTTTCGTAATCAGGAGGTCGATATCTACCAGTCTACGGAGTTTACAAAGAATTGAAGGAGTCCGTCATTTTTATTGTGATCTTTCATATTGATATATCTCCGGTGATAAGGCGTACCGGTCCAAGATTTTGTGCTCATTATACTCACGAGATTAAACTGTATCTGTATGCACAGTTTCAGGCCAATCTGAGGAGTGCGCTGAATCTGGAATATGGATTCGAATCTGGATGTGCATGTGATGCCAACTTCACGAACGTGCGATCACGGCCAGAGCACGAGCGTGCCGCTGGTTCGAAAATTGTGTGTTGATAAGCATTGTCTAACGTAGTACGATTACTGGGTGTTCGGTGTCGGAACCAGCTAAACTTCCGCGCCGATTTGTTCCCCGTTCGTGAAAGGGCATCGCACTTCACGAAGCGGTGAGGTGCTCATGCTATGTGATCCTGCCAGACAGGTGGAGGAACGTTTCAGATAGCCTGGGTGGCGCGTGTCCAAGCTAAATTCTCGATTTGATTTTGTCCATGCGTTATAGAAGAGCTGTTGGTCAGCATCTTCTGAAATTTCTGCATATATATATGAATGTATTAATATCAGTCATTTTACCATCAATAATATAACATTATCAGCAATATTACAGTACTAAATTCTCAGCAGTCTTTATGACTTGTGTTTGTGGAACTAAATATAGGTGTGCAGGCAAGGCTGCATTTGTATCACCATGTACAATGGCAACTAACCTAAGTTGTGGTTGCTGCCAATACTTTGCAACTAATTCTTCTAGTAATTAGATTCAGATGACAAATGACGAGGTATTGTTCTTCAGAAGTCAAATGAATGACTGAGCAGTAAAGCCAGGGTCTCATAGATAGTGATTGCTGGCTTGACGAGCAGATGCATAGGTCGTAATATAACAACAATAGTTGTATAATTTGCTTGAGATTATGTGTTTGATTGTGTGAATGCTGTAAATATTATTTTCAGTAATATTACTATCAATAATATTACTATCGGTAGTAATATTACACCAGTAATGTTACAGTACTATATTATATCAGTAGTAATATTACTTCACCAGCAATATTACAGCACTTAATTCTAAGTAGTCTATGACTAATCCTCATGGAACTAAATGTAGACACCCAGTCATGTATTGGATGTATATACATACATATATATATATATATATATATATATATATATATACATATATCGGATATTTGACTGGCCATTATTCATTGCATATGTAATCATGCTTGATAATTCATACTGCATACACAAAACATTCAAATAGTAAATCAATTAACCATATAACCAAAGCATGTCAGACCCAGTGAGAGCTGGACCAAGGATTCAATGAAAACATTTCTGTGGGTGCCATGTGAGATGCTCATGCCAAGGTTGCATCAGTGTTGTCCTGACTGATGTTTTGGCAGCATCGTCACATGTTGTGACCCCGTGTAGGCTGCCAGCAAGAAACTGGTGTGGGTGGGACACATTGGAGTGTTGATGAACATGTGAATATCACCTGGTCTTCCCGCATGTGGCAAGTGCTGTTTGAAGGCAACAGTATGTAATCATTGAATTAAATATAACATACTCTGTGAGGGAACCCATTGTGTGTTTGATGAATGCTTTTTTATAGTGTATCATTTACGTGAATAGTTTCAAGTTACTAAGTTGATTAATTCAATGCCATTTCATTCTGTATGTACCTTATTGTGTGATATGTTCTGATTTTGCAATTTGATAACTCCAAATTACCAAATATATGGCCTTAATTTGCTGCCATGTTTGTAACATTCAGAGCTCTCCTTCATGCACACAGGTCTGTTCTGTAGTAGTATCAGTTAAATGTGTGATTGTGTCCTAGCTGCATGGTATTCTTTCTGTGGCTGATGTTTATATACACACACACATATATATGTATATATATTGTCCTGATAGTGTCCCACACCTGTTACCATATCATCCCTTGTTTATTTGGTCACAGACTGACGGAAGCCGGCCGCCATGGATACACCGGAGCCGCGTCACTCCAGCAGTCGGCACAGTGACCTGATGGAGCGCACACTGCAGCGGCTGGACGAGGCCATCCAGAGTCCGTCGGCCATCCTCAGGACGCGCCGCTCCGTCTCCGGCCGGCCCACCAGCCGGCGCTCACGTGGGTTGCAGCAGTGCACAGCTGTGTCGCACGCGGTCAGGTTACAGTGTGGGAGGCCCCGCCACGCCAGCCTCGCCAGATGGCCTCTGGGCGCAGCAAGACTCTGTGTCCACATGCGTCAATGTTTTCAATGTAGCGCACATTGACCACATACCTGCTTTGAATGGCCTAGCAGTGAGTACGGGTCCCACTCGCGCCATGTGATGCCCCCGGGGATGCGTTGCAGTGGTGTCCAGGCGAAGCGGCCTGGCGGATGACCTGACTATGGACCTGACTTCAACCGCGGTCGGCCTCCGCCAGAGTGAGTGCTGACCGGCCTGGCATTATCTGATGTACTGCCCTACCCCTCCCCCCGGAACTCGGGTCACGTAAATATATTGACTTGTTGTGGAGGAAATCGCGCCTGGCTTGTGGTATTGAACTCATTACAATGACTGAGGCATAAGAGTTTGTGGGTAATTAATTTATGCAGTGCCTGTGGTGTACTTTCCAAACACTGGTACGTTCAAACAAGATCTGTCTTTTGCGCTTTCTAAATCGTAGTAGAACCCATGAGGTTGCCGCGCTCACGACGGCTTGTTGAGTATTAGTGTGTTGCTGCATCACCTTACCCAGCAGACCATCGAAAACCATGATGCACCATTTAATTGTCTAACCAGACAGCCACTAATTGCACCATTAACCATTTCAGGTGCAATGTGTGATTTGTCTGTGATTGACGATTCCTTGCAAGAGGAAACGGAGATGACGATGCTAATCGATGAGGATCCCGGCGAAAAAGGTAGCCTACCATTGTATACGACTGGCATAAGGGACATTTGTAATGGATGACAATGTCAAAAACGGCCCCGCCCCGCAATGTGCCATGAACTGTGTGTTTGGTAGCATTTCAACCAAACAGCCACTTGTCTCAGAATAATAATATCGTCTCCAAACTACCATTCTCGGTGTAAACGCTGGTTTGAATTTGATCACGCCCACGTCAAACATCCAGCCTCCGGACTATGTCTTTGTGGAGAGTTTAGCCACTTGACCTTTCGCCCACTCGCCGTCTTTCTCTCCCTCTCGCCCACTATTGCCCTCGGGTGTGACCGCCGGCCGTCGGCAGCCGTGGCCAGTCTGTCGGACGAGTTTCTGGAGGCGCTGCAGCGCTATCCGGCCCAGCACGAGGTGTTCGAACAGCTGGACGACTACCAGCTGCTGACGGAGCGGCATGTGGAGCGCCTGAGCCGGCTGATCCGGCGCGTGCCGGCGCGCCGCGGCACCACCCACCTGCCCGCCACACAGCAGGTGAGCCGACCCGCGGCCCGGAACTCCGCTGCTCTGGCTCTGTCATCCGCCGTCGCGCTGTCAACAGCGGAAGTCGTGTTTGCTCACCTGCACGGGCTGCGCGCGAGGTGCGCGCGGTCTCTGCGCTGTTGTGGTCTCTGCCTCCTGGCGGTTCGGGCAGTCATAGTGGCTGGCGGAGCCCGTGTGTGCTTTATGTGATGTCGACTTCGTACATTCCTCGTCAGACCGCTGCGGGTCGCTACATAAGCTTCTTGACCCGATTCTGTTTGTCATATTGTGTTCTTCTACAACCCCTGTGCTTTTCTCACATAAGTTTGCACTTCTTTCCTACCTGCAAAGTTACCACCCAGATTCCTGGGGATTTGTTCACGGACATCTGGATGTGGATTCCTGCATGTTGCACTCGTCTCCGCGTTCGCGGAACCCCGTGGTTGGCTTGTGTGGCGTTCAGCCGTCGAGGCCGAGCGTCCCGGAGCCCCGGCGGCCACCGCCGGCCACCGCGCCTTGTGGCAGCACGGTCTGACTGTCCCCCTCGCCTCCCCCAGCTGCACGAGCACCTCTCGAAGGAGCGCAACACGTGGCGGCTGCTGGCTTCGCTGTACCGGGACAGGCTGCTGGTGCAGTCGGAGGACGTCGGCGCCATGCTGGTGGACGCTGTCAACAAGCCCCTCTCCGACAGCCGCATCGCCGAAAACCTGTTCAAGGGCGACACCACCGTGCGGCAGGTGGGTCAACGGGTCACTGGCGTGGGTCAGCGGGTCGCTGGCATTCCACCGGCGGGTCAGCGGGTCACTGGTCTCCCACCGGCGGGTCAGCGGGTCGCTGACGCCTCGCCTGTGCAGTGGTAGACTGCTGCTGCCGTCTTGTGCCGGCGGTGGTTTGCGCTCTCCTTAACAACGTAGGGGTCAGCTGGTGGTGGAGTGACTGCAAATACCGGACTGCGTAAAGGAAGCGACCGCGTGGTTTTCCGGGTATTGTATGGTAGACTGAGTGCAGGAAAACCGGTTGTAACCACGATCCGACGGCTCGAAACCGCCGGAACCCAGTTCCAGCGTCCCCCCCCCCCCTCGGCACGCTTTTCCTTGCTGTCCACTTTCTAGTCCACGCTGTTCGTTGAGCTGTCAAGCCCGGCTGGCAGTGGTTGGTGACGGCTAAACGCCAGCCGTTCCCCGCCGATCGGCCGCTGTGTGATCGCTGGCGTGCCGTGCGCAGGCTCAAATCGTGGTGGACTGGCTAGAACTGTGCGCCGCCGACGACCTCGTCAGCAGCTACATGGACAAGGTGGAGTTCTTCGGCAACACGGCCGTCGCCTGGGAGAATACATTGCACGCGCTGCAGGCGCCGGCGCCGCCGGCCGGCCTCACCGAGAGCATGGACCCGGACGGACCCGTGCGAGAGGGCTCCAAGCTGCATGACCTGGACCAGGTGAGAAGCGTCCGTCCGACCGCGGCAGCCTGCTGACAAAGGCGGCGGCGGCGTGACGGAACGTGCCCGTGACGTGTCGTGGCCGACGTTAGCCCGCTTCACTTCCCTGCCCCGTGTCAGGTGAGCGTCCGGTGAGCAGGGAGCGGTCCGGACGAGCCCGGTGACCCATCTGACGAGGCTGAAGGATACACAGAAGGGGATAAGTGAGCCGCACAGCCAGTTCGCTGGTCTGCACGAGGCTTGGACCGATGGTCGGGGCGATACCGGGGTCGGGGCGCCATAGCTCTGACCTGTGCTTGTGTCATGTGTGATCTCCACTCCGTGGCTGACCTCTGACCCTTGTGCGACCCCGCGTGACCCCGTGACCCCGCGTGGCCGGCAGGACGACGAGCGCCGCCTGCTGCGTTACATGTTCGTGCTGGTGAGGGCCGGCCAGATGGCGGAGGCCCAGGAGCTGTGTCTGAAGGTGGGCCAGCCGTGGCGCGCCGCCGCGCTCGAGGGCTGGAAACTGCACCACGACCCCAACTTCGAGCAGCCCTCCGTCGCAGCCCAGCCGGTGCAGGGCAACCGGCTCCGGTGAGTGAGACAGCCGGCTGGTGCGGGACGGGCGGGTGGTACCGGAGCACCCGTGCGGTGCCGCCCACCTTACCTTAGTCTGTCCACATTTTGCCATTTGTTTCTTTCCATCCCAATACTTGTGCTTGTGTGCTTTTCCTCGGCGAACATTTTTCAGTGCGTTCTTTTCCCCTCAATCAATTTTTATCCCTACCACCATACGCCTTCGATCATTCGCACCGGATATCACTCTCACCGTTTTCTCTCACCATTTTCTCGCTCGCCCGTTCTCTATCATTCCATCCCCTGCGTGCGGCATGATTCCATTTCAACAGTAGCCTTATGATGTCGTGCTGGGCGAATAGCTCCCGCGCCCGTGGTCCGTACCGCGGCCGTGATGAAGCCGGCCCGCTGGCACACCGTGACCGGCGCCGCTGGCTGTGCGCCCGTGGTCCATGCCGCGGCCGTGATGAAGCCTGCCCGTTGGCACGCCGTGACCGGCGCCGCTGGCTCTGCGCCCGTGGTCCATGCCGCGGCCGTGATGAAGCCGGCCCGTTGGCACGCCGTGACCGGCACCGCTGGCTCTGCGCCCGTGGTCCGTGCCGCGACCGTGATGAAGCCGGCCCGCCGACGCACCGTGACCGGCGCCGCTGGCTCTGCGCCCGTGTGACGTGACGTGACTTGCCGCCGGGCCGCCGCCAGGGATCTGTGGAAGCTGGCCGCCTGGCAGCTTTCGGAGGACGTGCGTCACGACGTGCACGAGCGCGCCCTTCTGGCGGCGCTGTGCGGTAACCTGGCCGTGCTGCTGCCCGTCTGCGTCTCCTGGGAGGACCGCGTCTGGGCGCACTTCAAGGTCAGCTGGCGCGTCGCCGGGCCGGCGCTTCAGGGGACTGTGGCGCGGGGCGCCCGGGCTAGCGGCCGATGGTTTCATCCGGATCGTGATCAGGGCAGGATAGTACGGTATGGCAGGCATGTGTCAGTGGCCGTCTCCACTCGACGGACATGTTCATGATGTGTCATTTTCCCCATCTAAAGGAATTCTCCATTTGAAGAAATTTAAACAAGTGCCAGATATGATAAACTAAGCTCACTTTCAACTATTAGTACACTTTAAAGTGGAAAAGACTGCGCTAGACGACATAGTTTCTCTGTTTAGTAAATGTCCTCGATACGTTATTGTTTGATGACAGAATTGTACATTGCACAACACTGATTGAGAGCCAACTGATGGCCGTTATGTCTGGATGTCGTGCCCATGAACGCCAGATATGAACGACTCGACAATTATATTTGTCTTGGCCTTGATCGCCGCATGACTAATGGAATGACATAATTTGAATGACGTTTGTATGACATGGATGCCCGGGTGACCTCGAAATAGCCCCCTGCCTGAAATAGTTTGCACATCTTCGCGGGCGTTTAGAACAGAAACTAACGGGGTTTAGATCTTATGGAGGACGGGGCTTTGAATTGCACGGAACGATCTTCAATTTGGCCATCTCAGTTGAAAACCCCATACGAATTGTGAAATACTCCCCTTAAAAGGTACGCGCTCTGACGGCTCCGTCACAGCAACTTTGTCGCCATTGTTCCCCTGCTTCCGATCATGGGATGTAATTTTTAAGCAGCCTGAGGCATAGCGATGCTCAGTCTGCGCTACATCATCGGGTGTTCTAAGGCTTGGTAAACAAGCGCTGACAGTGTCTTGCCATATGTCGCAAGACGCCCACAAGGCGTCAGTGAGCGCTGACAGTGTCTTGCCATATGTCGCAAGACGCCCACAAGGCGTCAGTGAGCGCCGACAGTGTCTTGTCATATGTCGCAAGACGCCCACAAGGCGTCAGTGAGCGCTGACAGTGTCTTGCCGTGTGTAACAAGACGCCCACAGGCATCAGGGGCGCCGAGCCGGATCAGTGCGCGTGACGCCGGCGGTCAGCTGGGCGGCGCCGCCGGTCGCCGGGGTCTGTAGCGTTCCGCCCCCGTCGCGCAGGTGTTCGTGGACTCGCGGGTGGAGGCGGAAGTGCGAGCCAACACGCGGTCACTGCGGGACCTGCAGCCGCTGCCGCCGCACTACCCGGCCGACAGGTCAGCGGCGGCTCCACAGCCGGGCGGGCTGCCGACGCTGACAGGGCGCGGTCAGACTGCTTGTGACGTAATAGCGTGTGGTCCCTTGAGCTCGGAACATGTAGGTTGCATGGATACTGCGAGGAACCACCTCATCGTTTTATATTGGGCAAACGTCAAACGCATAAGAAATCGATGTTAAGTCCTGACTTCTGATGTGTGATTTCTGTTCTCAAACTAATATAAAAGCTGGTAGTTGAATATATTGCTGCATCTTGAACCCTTTGTAAAGGGTTAACGTTTTAAACCTGATATATCGTGCTGCACATACCTGATATCCACTTTATCGCAAGTCAGCAAAGTTAATGTGAGCCGAAGTCTTCTTCAGCTTGCTGACGAGTGCCCACCTTCACGGGTGCATGGGTGCGTGGCATACTAATGCCACTAATAGTGAGTGTCAGACTTCAAAGCGCCATTGTAAGAGCGCGTGGCGCCGCCGCGTCTGACCGCTGGGCGCGCCGCAGCGGGTCGCTGGCCAGCATGTTCGCGGACGTCGCCGCGCTGGAGGGCAGCGAGCGCCAGCCCGACCCCGTGGTGCGGCTCTACAACACCATACAGCGCTGCGCCATCCTGGGCGAGGAGGCGACCATGGTGGCGGAGATGGCCGCCTTCTGCGAGGTCGGTGAGCCTGCGCCGTTCCGCCGCTGACGTCCGGCTACCCAGCACGAGCGGCTTCGGCCGCATCGTGTGCTCCGTGGCGCTCTGGAGGCTGCGTTGACCCCATGCTGTGACGCTCGGTCCTGTGCTCACCCTTGCCCCAGGTTAACCCTGCTGTGATCTGTGACCTGTGTTTGGCCTGTTTGGTCTGTGACCGTGGCCTCGAAACGTCGGTCGTCACCAGGAGCACGAGGGCAGTGAGCAGCTGCTGCGCTCGCTAGCGCACATCGTGCTGTTCGTGCGCCAGTGCGCCGGCGACGACGTCTCGCACGAACACTGCGTCACCGTCCTACAGGCCTACGTCGAGGTGAGGCCGGCTCCGTCTGGGGATGTGGCCAGCGTCGGCCGACTGCGTGGCCATGCGCCGAACGCAGTCAGCGGCGGCGCGAGGGCCGGCTTTTTGTCGCGCTTACTGTCATGCCGCATGAGGTATTTGCATTTAGATACACCGGTATTTGTGCATGTTAGCTACAGGCCGGGCGGGATTTTTGTCAAGACACCTGCCTTTGGTGGTCGCTCTCACTTGTTGCTTGGTTGCGACTTTTCTATGTCGAGCCGGCGAGCACCGTCCGCTATGGATATATGCTCGGCATGGATGGGCCGCAAGTGTCACTCGTTATTCCGGCTTCGACGTCTTATAAATCCTGAGGCTGAATTGGGCGTCTAGGAATTATGAGTACTGGAGGAGATTTTGTCGTATCACTGCTGAGCAGCCAGGTTGTCGCTGCCGCGTCGTTCCCAGATCGTGCCCGTTCGAGACGTGCCCAGCCTGTTTGCCTGCAACGCGTGCGTGCCAGCTTTTGTCTGATGGGCTGCCCGTCCGCTGTTGCCGCGTCGTTGTGAGGTTGCACGGACAGGACAGCCAGTGTGACGTTGCTGCTCCGATGTCAGGCTGTGCCCGTCGGTCAGCCGGTTTGCTGTTGCGGTGTTGATGAGCGTCTGTACGTGCTGGACAGCCGGTTTGCTGTTGCAGCGGCCGTGTGAGTTGGCGCCTCGTGGGCGGCCCACTGTTCGGCGCGCGCGCGCTGCAGCGTCCGGCGTGAGCGCGGACTGTGACGCGCGTCTGCGGCCGGCAGAGCCTGGTGCGGCGGCGGTCGGTGCCGCTGGTGGCGGGCTACGCCTGCCTGCTGCCGCCGGCCGACCAGGTGCGCTGGTACGCGGCCCTCCTGCAGACCATCACCGAGCCGGCCGAGAGGCTGGAGGCGCTGCGCCTGGCGGAGCGGGCCGGCCTGGACGCGCCGGCCGCGGCGCTGGCCGTGGTGCGCGCCGCGCGCCGCCAGCCGCCCGCCGCGCCCGCCGCCGAGTTGGCACCCGAGACCAGCGACGACGACCGGCGCTGTCTGACGGCCGTGCAGTGGCTGCTGTTCGAGCCGAGCCAGCGGCCCGACGCCCTGCGCGAGGCGAACGCCGTGTGCCGTCGCCTGCTGCTTGCCCGCAAACTGCCGGCCGCCCGCGAGCTCATGCGGCAGGTGAGAGCGGCGGCGGAGGAGCGGCAGGGCGTGGGAGGCGGGAGCGGCACCCCGCCGGGGACCGTGGGGACCGTGGACCGCGCGCCGAGCTGGCGCCGAGACCGCTGGTGAGGAGTCGTGGCGTGACGGTTCTGGGAGATTTGTGTTCCATGTGGCTTGTATGTTGATTTTGGGAATGCTTGCCGTTGGTTCCCAGCAACAGATAATGGCGGGAACCGCTTGATGATATCCTGGATATTCGGCGCAGTGGACGCCGCGCGACTGTGTGTGGTTGTCAGCGCTGGGCGGCTGACACCCAAACCACGCCGTCGGTGCAGCGGCACCTCTGGTGCGTCGCCGTGGGTAGCCGTTTTGAGCGCTGGCCACCACCTCTGGCGTGTTGAGCGTCGCGTGGCGGGGGTGTGCCGCGGCACCTGTGAGAGCGCTGTGCGCCGCTGCCGGGCCGGCAGATCCCGGACGACAGTGTGGCCACCGTCCTCGAGCTGTGGAAGGCCTCCTCCAACGAGACCGAGCTGCCACCGGACCAGGACAATGTGATCAAGGAGCACCTCTGCGTCAAGGCGTTCCTGGTGAGCTGGCCCCTCACGGCAGCGGTGCCGCAGCGCCGATGGTCCGGTTGACCTGGCGCCGCCGCGGGCTGACGTCGCGTTCTGTCGCGATCCGGCGAGTCTGGTACCGCTGTGGGGCGGCCCTTGCGCTGCTGTGGGGTGGCTCCAGGCGCCTCTGAGATCTGGCAAGCCCCGCCCCTTATGCTGTCATTCTTCAACAGGCACAGTTCGGCACTACCCTCGCGCGCGCGCGTGTAAGGATCGTTGGGATGCGGCGGTGTCCTGCTGCCTTAGCTGTCGCGTTCCCCAATTGTGCTTGACGTGCTGGACTGACCATAATGACATTCGTCCTCTCCAGCTGCGTAAATCGGCTGTGCCCTCAATCGCTCTCTGACGTACCTCTGCGTCTGCTAGCGTCCCCCAACGCCCCCGCCCGCCCCGGTACGCTGACGCCATGCCCCATCCAGTTGGGGCAGGATGCGTATATCGACTGGTCGGAGCAGTTTTACAACCAGCGGCCGCGCCAGCCCGAGCTGCGAGAGGGCGCCTCCTTCACGGAGACGGTGGCGCACGAGCAGCGGCTCAAGCAGTACCAGTCAGCCGTGGAGCGATGGGAGACGGCGCATACCGCCATCACCAAGGTGGGGCAGAGATAGCTGGTGACGACGCCACCGTTTTCCTGGGATGTCTGGATTGGCTGGCACTAGTGTGTTGCGTATAACACGGGCATAAAACGTCACAAGTTGTGACGTTCCATGCATAGCCGTTCATGACGTGATGTCACCCAGCTGAGTTTCCGCTGTGCTTGTGTTTGTGCTGGCCTCATGGTTGTAGGCTCCAGAGCCGGAGCGCTGCGTGCGCCAACGCCTTCGGCTGTCCGTAACGTCTCTGTCTCCGTTCTCAGACGACCACCGAGCGTCTGTACAATGTCCTCATGTTCCCCGACGGCGGGTGGATGGCCGACCGGCCGCAGGCGCCGGCAGCACCGCCGTCGGCCGTCGACGGGACCGAGGAGCCGGCGCGGCAGCAACAGATGGCGGACCTGCGCCGGCTGTACGTGCCGCAGACGGTGGCCGTCCTACACAAGGTGCTGCACAGCAGCCAGCGCCTGAAGGAGGCGACGCAGCTGGCCGACCTGGTGGCCGGGGAGGAGTACCAGCTGTACAAGGTACGACCGGGAGCGCCATCAGCCGCCTGCTGCGCAGGGCACGGAGGGCGCCGTAAGCGCCAGCGACACACGGTCGAGTGCGGTACCCGCTGTGCGAGATACGACCGAGAACGGTCCACCTGTGGATTGTACATCTGTGTACGGTGTCAGCAGTGAGCAAGGTGCGGACGGGTGTGGAGCATGAGATATGCAAGGCGTAGCCGAGTGCGTCGCCAACAGTGTACAGGGTACGCGTAGGTACGGGGTACCAGCTGTTCAAGGCATGAGGCCAGCGGTACGACCGGCTCCGTACCGGTTGCACTGGGTATGGATTGGTGCCGTACCAGCTGCGAAACTAGCGCCAAAGGTACTGCTGGGCGCCTAATTAGTAGTGCTGCGCGTACAAGGCACGGCTTTCGGACAATCCGCGGGTAAAGCCAGGACGACTTATTGGACGTCGGGTGACGGATGTTGGGTGTCTGGACTCCGCCGGGGTCGGCGGCGCATAATGACCTGTCGTGTCGGCTTGCCGGACCTGGCTGACGCTCGTGTGTCGGTTTGCCGGACCTGGCTGACGCTCGCGTGTTGGCCTGCTGGACCTGGCCGACGCTCGTGTGTCGGTGAAAACCAGTGAGCCTGACGCCGCTCTGATTGCCGCCTGTCGCCGTTCCAGGAGTTCAGCCAGCTAGAGCTGCAGAGTCTGCTGGGTAAGCTGCGCGAGACTTCGCTCGAGCTGCTTGACCAGAACCTGGACGCCCTCGGCTACCCGTTCCAGTGAGGCCGGGGCGGCGGCTCGACGGCGGCGCCGCTGGCCGGGACCCGCCGGTGCCGCCACGGCGACGGGTGCGTCCCGCGGTGGTGACACCTCTGTGTCTCTCGTGTCCGGTCGCCCGCACGCGGTCTGCTTTCCCTGCTCTCCGGGTGCTCAGGTGAACCTGTGGCGTTCCGGTGAACCCGTGGCGCTGAGGTGCACTCGTGGCGCTCAGGTGCATCCGGGGCGCCCAGGTGAACCCGTGGGGCTGAGGGAACCCATGGCGCTGAAGTGAACCCGTGGCGCTGAGGGAACCCGTGACGCTGAAGTGAATCTGGGGCGCTCAGGTGAACCCTTGGCGTCGGCGCGCTCAACTGGCTTGAACCACGCGGTGGCCTTCGCCGCATCGAGGCCCGTGACGTCATGTCAAAGTGCGCAGAATGGTATGTGTCGTGGGCGCTCTTCACACCGCTATGGCGGACTCAGTTTTTTGTTGGAATACACGGCTGGCTTATTACACTAGGCTCTCCCGACGTGATGTCTGTCAGGCTCTTCCCGGTTCAGAACAGAATAGCGCGACCTGTTCGCTGCGGGATCACGCCACGGCCGACCGACGTCAGACGAGCGCAGTTGCCGCCAGGTGCCGAGAAACCGATGCCGTCGGCGCGCTCTACAGTCAGCGCCGCGGGCGCTCCGGCCTAATGAGGATCAGTCGCCGGCCGGTCGGACGACCTTTCTTTTGCGTGCCGTCCTGTCTTGTAAACAGACGGCTAATGATGTCTGCCGGTGCTTGTCAGGCGGTGCCATGTCTGCCCTCAGCTCTGGGCACGGCTGCCGATGGCGGCAGCGGCACCACCCGCCACCCTCGTGCGGTACCCGGCGCCGCCGCGACGACAAACGACACGCGGGTGAGGGGCTGCGGTGTATTTCTGCGGGCCCGCGCGGCCGCGGCGTAGCCGGTGGCGCCGGGGCGACGCCGCACACACCCACGCCTCGATTGTACGCTTTGAGCTGTGGGCCGGTCGAGACGGAGCGGGGCGGGCTGGCCGTGACCGGCGGCCGACCGCGCGCCCACCGGCGCCACGCCGCGCGCACCGGGCGCCCCAAGCCTACCGACGGCACTACTGGAGCCCGGCCACTGGCCACCCTTAACCTAGCAAGAGTCGCAGGAGGGCGAGGGACGTCGCGGCGGGCCGGCGCCCGCGGCGCCGCTGGCTGGCGGCTCCTGCGCCGTATCTACAGTCGGCTGGGCCCGGCTGGGCCCTCCGGCGTATCTACAGGTGACGGCGGCAGCGGCGCGCGCCGCGGCCGCCACCGAGCCGCCCTCCTCTCACTCGCTCCCCCCCCCCCTCCGTGGCGGCCTCCTCGGGGTCATCTCCGGCGGCTCGGCCGGCGCATCTGCAACCAGGACGCGTCGTCAGTCGGCGCGCTCATGCGGCATTCGCTGACTGCGCTGATGTTCGCCCGCGGACAGCGGAGGATGGACGGCGAAACAGCGGGACAGCTGGGGGACCACGGAAGCTGATCCACAGCGACAACTGACACTGCCGCGGGAGCCGATGGACACGGACAGATGACACTGACAGAGCCGAGGACACAGCACAGCTGCAATTGATCGGGACCGATGGACACTGGTCGCATCACGTTGATACAACACCCCACGGATAGTGGTGTGGCAGGTGTTAATAGGGCGGTGTGTGAAATGCAGCAGAACAGACACCAGTGAACCAACAGTGCAACAGATGCCGGTGAACCAACAATGCAACAGACGCTGGAGATCCCACCATGCAACAGACGCCGGTGAACCAACAATGCAACAGGCGCCGGTGATCCATCAATGCAGCGGACGTCGATGACGCAACAGATCAACAGACTCAACAGGCGCAACATCGTACCAGACGCAACAGACGCTGCCAGGGCAAACTTGGGCGTGGCAGTCAGGTGAGGATGAACTTGCGAACAGTGATATTCAAAGCCGAGTCTCATTTTGCAAACCACGCGAAGAGATGGGGTGATGCAACACAGGTGTTTTCGTTTTGCAAGCCAGCTGACTCGGTCATTTCGAGATGTGACAGACTGGGGGGCTTGACATAGAGCGCCTTATGTGGTTTCAGCTTCGGTAAAATAGGCAAATTTCGAAGATTCCTCGGATTCCAACGCCTCTTAATAAACACACCCGACAACGCGTCCAAAAATAGTCCTGTGCATCCCGTCCTGTTCCATCGTCCCTTGCCAGCTCTTCTCAGTGAAAATCACATGTGGAAACGCAAGAACTAACAGGTGGTGACGCAGCCGGTCGGCGCAAATGACACGCAGCGCCGGTGAGGGCTGCTCAGTTCACAGGGAACATCGTAGTTTACGTGGCACCCAGGACCCACGGCTATAATATTTGTAGTGAAGAGGCGGACGATACTGTATACCGCTTACAGGAAGGCACGAGAACATAAGCGTTCTGAGGCGGCTTGGGACGAACCACACCAAACGTCTACACAAGGTCAGCATTGTTGTAGAGCATCACTCGGCGGCTTCCAATCGCACAGCCATCCACTTTTACAACAGCGCACGGTCGAGTCGCCGACAAGGCCTACTCGAACGAGACGGCAGTATAGGCGGCGTACAGGTCATCGTCTCATCCCGTTTCTCGTACAGCCTCCGCCGGCCAGAGGCCGCTGTTCGGCGGCGGCAGGCTGGGTCACTGCGAGGAGGCATCACCAGTGACGACTGATCGATGGCGGCCACACCACTGACCGATGGCGGCCACACCACTGACCGTTGGCGGCCAGATGGCGACGTGCGCGACACGCTCGGCCGCTGCCAACTGACGCCGGCCGGTTAACGACTGCGGTACGGCAGACCGCTGACCGACCGCGCCGGGATGTCCCCGTGAGAGGCCCTGCCGCCGCCCTGAGAGGATACCCCGTGAGAGGCCCTGCCGCCGCCCTGAGAGGATACCCCCGTGAGAGGCCCTGCCGCCCCGGGGCACGGCTCGATGCCACCACATGGGGAGGAGGGAGCGGGAGACTCTGTTTCCCGTCCGGTTTATCAGGATGCAACGCACAGCCGGCGTCCGACTCAGTTGCTGATTTATCGAGGCACAGAACCATGAGGGCTTTACAGAAGCAGAGAATTGCTCTCATATCAGTGATGCAACCAGAATGTGTGGTGTGTGGCGTTGCACTGGGGCTGGCCGGTAGCCGCTGTATATCAGCCAGCCATAACGGCCACCTGAACACCTTACACCTTCAGGAGGTCGCTGGCGAGCCCCGTGTCATGGCCGCTGTCAGCCGATGTATTTCGGGCGCATCGCTCACACCAACCGACTGAGTGGCCCTCATCACTCGCAGCGTCTGGAAACATTCATGTGGCAGCTCAAAGCCGGGCAGTTATCTTGGATCCGACCTTGATTACCAAGCCTCTCAACTCAGCCGGCCGCTCTGCTCCGTTCCTCCACGACAGTGTCGGGCATTTCAAAGGCGGGCGGCATCGCCATGACACCGAGGGACAAAAGCTGCCGTTGCCGACCGTATTACCGGCCGTGAGAGTTTTCGCTTTCAGACCACTACGCTTTCAGCGGAGCCAACATCCACCGCAGGCGGAGAGGCTGGGTTTACGACGGCGTCACGTGAAGCCGCGGTGTTGCCCGTACCTTTGTGGGGCTGACTGCATCTCCGACGGTACATATTTCATCTGTGTTCAGGACCGGGTCATGGATGGGCACCAACGTGATGGTTTTGGCTGGATATTGGACGACACAGTATCAATCTGTGCGGTGCCACCCGTGTCAGACTGGTTTCATTTCACGCTGCTAAAGACGTAAGGCAGGAACGTTTATCCAGGATTTGGCCGACATGTACAATAAGAGATGATGCCTAAGACCATGGCCTGTCCAGACATGAGATGTTCCAAACGCGCAGTGTCACCGGCGTCGGCGCGGCCGCACCGCGCCTGGGCCGCCATCCCGAACCGCGGCGCGCCTCACCATTTACGACTTGGTGACGGAGAGCCGGCGCGCGTTAGGCCGGTCGTAGTCCTCCATGCTCATGGAGCGGTTTCTGCCGGTGGCGCCGGCGCCTCCGCTGCTGTTGGAGAGGGTGCGGGTGCGCGGGTTCACCGCCGTCAGCACGCCCAGCCCCTTGCAGAACAGCAGCAGGGTGTTGGCAAACTTCTCCGGCTGCAACGGCACCAGACAACAACCGGTCTCAGCACGGAGGCGGCAGCGGCCAAGGCACTAGAGGAGGGACGAGCCACCACACCTCGCTGCAAGAGCGGCGTCGCAAGAGAGGCACGCAAGGAGAGCCAGTGAAAGTGGAAGGCGACAGCGACAGAGTCGGTGCGTTCCTCCATACGTCCGTCACACATATCATGCGTTGGTCCTTCCCGTGATACGATTGGGCAGTCGTTCACAATTGTAGCACGGGGGCAGCTGTATACGAGGGTGGTGGCCGCCACACAGGGGTGGTAGCTTTCACACGGGTGTGGCCGCCACACGGATGTGGCCGCTACACGGATGCAGCCGCTAAAAGGGTGTGGCCGCCATATGGGCGTGACCAACGTGCAAAGATAGCGTGCCCTGACTCAGCTCGTCTAATTCGTTTAGCACATTTTAGTACCATTGATGACACGTCGCCTTATTAACGGCTGCCTGTAATTAGTCTCGAAATAATGGCTTCAATCAAATTTAAATGGCTTGCTTGTCTGGTAAAATGCAAACGTTATTGCCACGTGAACGAAACCTCTCCATTCGCGCAACGGCCATAACATGAAAACGCCTTGGTTTTAATGAAGATCTGAAGGGCTAGAATAAAACCTTGCTTTTCCATGCCAGGTCCTCCTGATCGGCTTCCGCTACCTTCCATTGATTTCGTTCGTTTCAAGGAGAAACACTTTGGGATGGGAGACGAGGCTGCTCGAGTCGGGCTGGGACAATGAACATCCCTGAGACATAGGGGTCAGCGCTGCACAACATCCTGAGAGACAAAAGTTGGTTCTCCCTCAAAGACACGGTCCGCGACAAGAGACAGGAGACAGGGGTCAGGGGACAGCACTCGGAGCCGCTGACCACCATGACACACGGCGGCATCGGCCCCGGTGGCGTCGGCCCCGGCGTCGCTCAGCGCCCTGATCGCCAGAGGTCCCCCCCCGACCCCCCCCCCCCCCCGTCCCCTGTCCTCACGAGGCCAGCGGCGGGCTCCGACCGCTGACTCACCGCCTCGATCAGCACGTCCCCCACGTCGTCCAGCTTGATCAGGGACGACTTGGCCTTGTTCATATGGGCGTGCATGGTGTGCACGGTGTGGTTGTGAGATGCCTTAGCCCCCGTCACGAGGAGCGTGTCCATCTTCAGGTCGCCGACCAGCGCCGAGAGGTCCGTCCGACTGCAGACGCACCCAGACCGGGTCAGTATGACCTCCGTGTGGCAGGTCGGGTCAGCACGAGGAAGTGTTAGGTCAAAATAATTTAGGTCGGCGCGATGAAGGATGAAAGGACGCTATAACGATCAACGCCAACGCACACGATGATCAATAGTCAATGATCTAACACACAGCGCATTGACCAGCGATCGATCGACGCCGTAAGATACAGTGGCGGACAGTAAGACGCAGGAGGACACTGTGACAGGTGCACACCGAATGCGAACGGGTCGGTTCCACATCAAATCGTCTTCCCTACAGCTGAAGCGTGGCCACTTGCGTTCTGGGGGGGGACCACAGC